AGGTTAGTGCAGAGGTCTCCAAACTTGGCAACTTTAAGACTTGTGGACTTCAACTCCCAGAATTCCTCAGCTGGCTATGCAGGCTGAGGAATTCTCGGAGTTGAAGTCCACAAGTCTTAAAGTTGCCAATTGTGCAGGCCAATTCTTACTCAGAAGTTAAGTCCCACTAAGTTTTCATGTTAATATACATAGGATTGGCTCCTTTATTGGGAAGGAGATTTTGAACAGAAACCATTGGAAAGAAGCCAGATATGTATATAATAAAAGGGGGTTTAATAGATTTGTGCTTGGAGCACAGGATATATACTGTATTAAGATAAAACACATCTGAATGCAAGTGTGGAAATCTTGAGAATTGAAGCGAAAATTGTGGGCTGAATAATTTTGGATAATTGACTACAGCTTTTGGTTGGGGAGAAGAATGAATAGTTGGGGAGTGGTTGCAGTAGTGTAGAGAATATGAAATTATTTAATAAAAGGGTTCCTCTAGAAAGCATGTACCATTAAATTCTGCTCTACTGTTGAGAAAATTATGGGATCTGGTGGCGAGGTATAAATGAGTAGGAAAGAAATGGGCATTTTTCAGGAAAAATAAGTGATAAAATGTGTAATTGTCTGGAACAGGGAATAAGGAACTAACAAAAAGGAAAAATAGTTCATAGAAAAAAGACTGCAGTCTTTCTTGATTTCAGGTGGTGGAGGATATTACCCATATGGTGATGTGAAAAAAGTTTTCTTCTGCCTCTTCTCATACTGTCTTTAAGTATCAGAGGCACCAGAGGTGCTAGTCTGTGAGAGCCATGTACAATGGGATAGGACTCCCCACTTCCCGGGGCAGTGGTACCAACGGTTACGTGCAACAGAACCTCTCGGCAGCACGTCACAAGAAGGATCGGGCTGACTACAAGTCGGAAGAGGAGCTGAGGAAACTGGAGTCATCTTTGGTTAAAAAACCAAACCAGGACATCCTGGATCACGAGCGCAAAAGGAAGGTTGAGTTGAAATGCTTAGAACTGGCTGAGCTCATGGAAGAGCAAGGGTGAGTTGTTACAGGAAGGTCAAGGCTAAGACATTTTCAAGACATGATGAGAAGAGCAGTGAGAATAATAATGGTCAGCTGGTAGCAAATAAACCAACACTGTTATTAGAATATACAGATATATCTGTATATATAGAATATACAGATTTGGGAATGATATGATCATATGATGCTTTGCATCCAAAATTTCTGATTTTTGGCACTCAGTTTTTTATAAAAGGAGGTCTCATTTGTTTGGAATTATTAGCAGAACAAGTATTTTAAATATATTGGGTAAAGGAATACAGTGTTGTGTGATATTGGCTGTATTTTCTATGCTCAGTTTTCATTTTGAGCAATGGAATTTGTTCAGAAAACATTTCTTTATTGAAATTTAAGATTTTTTTTACATAGAACTTAGTTATAAGTCTGTTAAAATTGGATAATATTTGAGATATGCTTGAAATGAAAATGGTTGAAAATGTTTTGTACTAACAATGCCTAATATTATAAAGCATTTTAAATATTCTATAGAGATTCATGGTAATACACAATAATACATAGAATAGTCTAGTAAGGTAGACTATTATTGGCCACATTTTGCAGACATTAATGGCCAGAAGGCTTAAGAGACTAAATGATTTGTGAAGATATTCTAAAAGATTCATAGTAGAAGCAGAATTTGAACTAAAACTCTCTTGCTTTACATTTTGGTTTTAATATTCTATACTAAGTTATGCACTTTCTAGAGCAGGGGTGTCAAACTCAAGGCCCGGGGGCCAGATTGGCCCGTGGGGTGCTTAGATCTGGCCCATGGGGCCGCCCTGGAAGCAGCAAAGGACCAGCCTGTGGTGGCCCTCCCAAGCTCCCTTTTGGCTACGACCACCTCCTGCAGCCCTCTGCCAGTGAAAACACAGCCCGGGCAGGCTGTGCGCACCCCCACCCCCCACCCCCCTGAGCTTCATTCTTGCCGGCAGAGAGCTGCAGGAGGCTGTAATGGCCTAAAACGGAGCCTCAAGTGACATCAAGCTGGCTACGCCCACCCCGGCCACTCCCATCCCTGGCCCCCCAAGGTCAAATACACCCTGATGCAGCCCTCAATGAAATAGAGTTTGACACCCCTGTTCTAGAGGGTGGATTCTTGGATCTTTTATAATCCATGCATTTTAGAAATATTTTTTTACATCATTTCAGTGATGTAGCTTTTAAATAGAACATCTTTATAGTCCACTACATTCTATTCTGATGCATACAATAGGTATGAAGAAGGGGAGATTCAGGAGAAAGTGGCCACTTTTCGGATGATGCTTCTAGAAAAAGATGTGGCAGTTGTCAAAGAGGGGGAACAGCAGCAGAAGTCTAGGTAAGTAAGGCATTTGTGGATTTTGTGTTGTTTTGTCATGACAGCTACTTTTCATCTTAAGAGAGGCTGTTGTGCCAAAAATATGCCATGTTTCTTTTTTTTTATAAAAAGTTTTTTATTTTTATATTTCAAAAACATCTCTTGGTGAACAGCATGGTTCCAGGTTTTTACATTTCCATACAAACATGACCTTAGTTACATATTCATCTTTCGCATTCAGTTACATACCATATCATTACATTACATAATTTCTATAAATTTTCTCAAATATCCTTATATTCTTCACACTTATTGTATATATTTTCTATTCATATCTTAGCTTATTTCATTTTTAATATCGTATCTTTATATAATGTTTAAAATTCTTATTTCTTGTTCTTTATTCATTATAGTTTTATCTGTCACATTTTCAATTTCATCGCATACTCTTATTCATACATGATCTTCTTCCGACTAAAACCAGAATTCCGATTTTTCATGGCCCCCCCTTCCCCCCCCCCTTCTTCTCCTCTTTCCCCTCCCCTCGGAGGCTCCCTGAGTCAGGAGCAGGGAAGCGGCTATCCAGCTCCGGAGCTGATCCACACCACCGGCTGGAAAGGAAGAGTGTGTTGGTGTTGTGTGTGCGATTTCTTGGCGCGCGGCGCGGGGTCTCTTGGCCGGCCCCGAAAGAGCGCGCGCGGGGTGGGCGGTGGAGACGCGGGAGCGAATGCCGGAAGGAAGCAAACCTCGTTGCAAAGTTTTGCCTCTTTCCCTTTCTTTTTCTTCTATCATCCCTGCGGCGGGCGGGCTGGCTGGCTTGGCAAGCGGACGAGCCGAACAGCGACTTGGCTACCTACCTTGCGAGGCAGGGGAAGATGGGAGAAGGGAAGAAGATGGGGGTGGCGGGGGGGGGGGGGGAGAGGTTTCCCGTGGATGCGGAGGTGTGGAAAGAGCCAGATGGCTGCAGCTCCCTCCGGAGAGCGAAAGCAATGTTCATTTACCGGAAAATTCCCCTGCGGGAAGTCGCGCGGATCCGGTGCCTCCAGGGTCCTGTTGGCGGTGGGGGGGGGATGATTAGATTTGGGGAGGAGGGTGAGGTCAGAAGGAAAAGGCACCCCTGGCTACTTTTCAGATTTTTTTTTTCAGAGGGGAATATCATGCCTGTTTTCATTATTCAAAACATTCCATCCTAATTCTAATATCAAAAAAACACCCCTCCCCCTTTAATTACTAATTTGAATGTACCACCTCTTTGTCTTATACATCATTCATTTAATTCCCCTTTAATTCATAATAATGATTTATCACTTTTTAGTTATCCCTTTGTAAGTAACAATAATCTCCTAATTACTACATAACACATGTAGTGTAAGGCATCCAGAAAGGATCCATGATATCAATCACTCCGAGACATTTTCTCTCCAATTGATTTATTTAGAAACAGATCTGGCATGTCAAAGGCAATTTCCCAAAGTGAAAATTTTTCGCGCGTTACACAGAATCCACCTTCTCCCTTCTCTCCTCCCACTTCTACACTTCATAAATCACGAGAACCAATTAACTGCCACTGGAATTTCTTAATACGACATACAGAATAACCTTGAACTTTTCAACTCCTCCAAACTCTTAAAAAAATGTGGCAGCTGAATTTCAAAGCTGACATATACATTTTAAGCTGGATTCCACATGGTATTTCCCCCCTTAATTACTTTCTCTTACATTTATTATTGCAAATACATTAATCTATTCAATCATAAAAACTGATGTTAATCTTTTTATAACAATCCTCATAGTTCATTTTAACTATATTCTTAATTTTATTAAACTTATTTAGTATATTTATCATAACTTCCCAATTTCACATTTATACCAATTATATCTATGTGTAATTTAACAATAACAAATAGTCCAATAACAAAAACATCAGTTCCAATCTTTTCATTTTTAAAGTCTATATTTTTTATACGTTACAACAAATTACTATTACTTCAAGTACATTTATATTACAACACATTACCTTGCAGAATCCCCTTCCTTATTCCTAATCTACCCATTATCTCTGTCTCCTAATTAGACAATTTCTTTTCATTCTTGTTCGATTTCCATATCTCCTCCTTTTCTGGTCCTTTTTCTTTATTGCCTCTTTTTCCCTTCATTTTTCCCTCCATTTCTTACTCAAGTTTTTATCCCCCTTCCTCTTTAAAGCTTTCTTCTGCAGTTCCCTTTTCTGCTGTTTTCCTTTTTCTTTGTTTGGCTTTCCAAACATTTCCATTTTTAATTATCTCCTCAAACTTGATGAAAAACTAATTTCGGAACTAATTGATAATTAACATCGAGACAAATTTATGGGCAGATCACAGCATGATTAGATTTAGTTGGGCAGGGCAGAAGAAAACTTCAAGATGGACACTTCAAAGGTCAATTCTAAAAGAGAAAGATTTTAATATCAAACTGAAAAAAGAATAGTTTTTTTTTTTTTTGAAGAAAACAAAGAGGAAGATACCTCTCCACAAAATAATTGGGATACAGTAAAAGCATCGATAAGAGGAGTGGCAATAAAATATATGGCGAAAAAAAATAAAGAGAAAAAGCAAGAATGAAAAATATTTGAACAGGAATATAAAGATCTGGAGAAGAAATTACAAGAGGAACCACAAAAAAACCAAATAAAACTACAAATGGACCTAATAAAACATAAACTTAGTAGAGAAAGAAGAATTAGCGGTGCGAGCGGAACCCGGGCGGGCGGTGCGAGTGGCGGGCGGTGCGAGCGGAGCCCGGGCGGGGGGGCGGGCGGTGCGAGCGGCGGGCGGTGCGAGTGGAGCCCGGGCGGTGCGAGCGGAGCCCGGGCGGGCGGTGCGAGTGGCGGGCGGTGCGAGCGGAGGCTGCTGAGCGGCAGGAAAAGGGAGCTGGACAGCGATTTCTTGGCGCGCGGTGGGGGGTCTCTTTTGGCCGGCCCCGATTTTTTTTTCAGAGGGGAATATCATGCCTGATCTATATATGTATCTAGTATATATAGAAGGAAAATATGTATTACGTGACTTAGCAATGTAAGACAAAGATGTATGTTAGGCTTGTACCATGTTCAATGTTTTTTAATGTATTTTTTGTTTTTGTTTGTGTTTGTTTAATAAAGAATTAAATTTAAAAAAGGAAATAATGGAATGTGCAGAGATGAGTAGATTGACATTGGCAATTAGAGAGCAAGAAAAAAAAGAATATTATAAAATATGGGATTTTATCAATGGTTAGATAGGAAAATAAAATATATTAATATAAATATAATACAATAGTAAATATAATACAATAGTAATGATATGTTATAATTGATTATTTTAGAAGAAACTATAATATGAACTTGAACTTGTAAAAATTGAAGTGGGCTCGAAAAGAATGTGAATTTGTAATTAAAGTCTAACGATGATGTAATGATAATATAATATGACATGGAAAGTTGAATAATATAATATGAATATAAATTTAAATTTAAGAGGGAAAGACTATTGATAATGTGCACAAGAAATATGTACCAACCGACACACTGTATAATTGAAAGAAGGTTTTATTTGTTGGTTTGTGTTTGTGTTTGTTTATGTTAAAAATAAAAAAAAATTGGATAAAAAAAAAGTTCAAAGCAACTTTCAGCTGTCAATTTTTCTTTTCACTTTCTCTGGCCTTCACTTTCTCTGGCCGTCGCTTTCACTGTCTTTCTTTAAAAATTTCTTAGTATCTTAACTCCGGGGTACCTTTATATCCAGATGTTGCGCCTGATTGGTCCAGTCTTCACACTGTCTGCTTCTTCACCACTCTGGCACGATCTTTGTCCTGGTTAGCTCTCCTTCAGGGTGGCCATATTGGCCACCGCTACAGCCCGTCTTTGGAGGGAGTATGCCTAGCCAGGGAGGGGAGATGCTGCCCCCCTCAACCCAACTGGCGATTTCCCCACATGATTGCGGTCTTCGGTCTGTCCACAAAGGAAACACCTCCGGAAGTTAATATGCCATGTTTCGGTCTGCATATTGATAGGATCCTTCAATTGTGATATATGTGTTCTATTAACTATTTCTTCTCCAGTATTACAGAGACCCATCAGCTGGCTGAGGCCAATGAAAAGAAGAATGAGAGGCTGCGAGCTGCTTTTGGGATCAGTGATAGTTATGTGGATGGCAGCTCTTTTGACCCCAACCCCAGGGCCAAGGAGGCAGCAACAGCTGCAGTGGCTAAACAACAGCAGGAGCAGCACAGGTATGAGGAATCCCTACTGGAAGATAAGCAAGAAGAGGTGACAAGGTAGCTCTGGTTATGTCTACTACAGTAAAAGAAGACAAATTCAAATAAAGTACACAAAATGTACAAAATATCAAACAAGCATTGCACATGGACAGTAAGATTAAAAATTAATGAAACCACTGTATGGTATGGTTCATGATTGATTCCATTCTTGGTTAGAATTTGTGCATAATTGACTTGTACCCGTGAGAGATTTTATTTTATTTATTTATTTATTTTAAAAACAAGTTTTATTGATTTTTCAAAAACACACAAATCATCATTAACCATTACATGCTTAAACCTTTTTCCATTATAAATTTAACAAGTCAGATAAAACCTTATTTTATACACTATAATTCTGTTTTAAACCATTTCCATATAAACATACAAAAACCTCTTATCCAATTTCTCTTTACTTCTCTTTACTCTTATTCAATTTCATTATTATTATTTCATCTATTTCTTTCTGACTTAGTTACCATTATTCTCATTCTATATTTCTGCAAGGTTTTATTAATTCTCCCCCCAAAAAAAACATATACACACAACACACAAAACATTAAAAAAAAATCTTTTTGGAAAGTAACTTAGCCCCAGGTATCTCTCTCTTCATGGACTTCAGTTATATTCATGCTCATCTTACATGTCATTACTTATTTTATTTACCATTCTGAATCTTCTATATTAACTTCTCCACACATTTCACTCTTCTTAATTCTATCTTAATTAATCATCTTAATTTGAGTCATTATATTTGTATCTTTTGTCCATTCTTTATTGTCCCTTTGTCTCGTTCCTTATAAAAAAAAAGAGTTTCTCCTGAAATCACTAATCAGAGTATGATGCCTTTCTATCTCCCCCCTAAATTAATCAAATTAACATTTAAAATAACACCCAATACCCAATCCGATTCTGCTTGGTACATTCTATCTAAATAGTACATCCAAAATAATTAAATACATAGTTAAACAATAGATCTAAATATTGCATCTTATAACATTCCCATTGCCTTTTCCAAAAAACAAATACTATAATAAAAATTTTATAATAACATCAATACCATAATCTTATTAAACTCTTTAATTAAAACTCAATATTCTAAGCCTACCCTCATATTATTAAATTTTAAAACCAATCATTATTAAACATTTCAACATTTTAATCTCTTATCAACTCTTAAACCATTTAAGTTTTCTATTTCTAATACAATGCTACAATATCATCATATGTACCTTGCAAAATCTTTTTTGAAGAAATTATACTTTACCCTTTATCCCTAAAAAAGATTCCTTTTTTCCCATCTAGTTTCAAAACTTTGTAGCTTTTCTCCACCTTTTCCCTTCCTTTCTTCTCCCAACAAACCTTTCTACCCCCCCTTCTTCTAGCCTCTGCCTTACTGGCTTCCCTTCTCTGTCGTGTTCCTTTTCCCTTTTGTTTTCTATCATTATATTGATTTTGCACCTTATTTTTCCCTTTCCTAAGTGTTTTTTTAAATCTTAAGTCCTTTATTTCTCTTCCTTTCCCTCTTCCTTCTTTCTTGGTCGAATTCTGAGATTCATTAAAAATGGCTTCCTCTCCTTCTTCTTCTTCTGCTGTCTTCATCTGTTGTAATGTTTGTTGATAGTTAATAAGCGCCATTTCTAAAAAAAGGAAGGCTTCTTTCAAACCATCTTTACCATTTTTTTTGCTTGCTCATATTCTTTTCTCAGTTCCTCAACAGAAAAAGCCATTATAAATCTTTTCTTTTCCCCTTCTTTCTTCTTACAACAACCAGAGTATTCCAAAAAAAATTAAACAGTCCCAAAGTTATCAATCAGTCCAAACCAAGGCAGAGTTCTCACTTTCTCCTCCTGGGGTAGTATCAATCAGAAAAAAAGAAAGTCCAAATCTGTTTCTTAAAGTCTTATTGCAATATATTTCAGTCTTCAAATCCTTAAGGCATCTCCTCCAACAAAGTCTTAGCATACGAATATTTTTTTTTAGTCCTCTCCCTTCCCACTCATCACTTAAATCCAGTTTTTACCTAAAAAAAATAGGTTTCTTAATATCAGCTTATTAATTTCGTAGGGAAGGAGAGTAAACTTTCCTTTCAGCACCACCAAACTGCCGCTTTTTTTCTCTTCTAGAAGGTATCATTCAGAAAGTCATAATTTTCAGGAATTTTGTTAAATATGTCTTAGAGTCCTGGGAACCAAGAAAAACTTTCTCTTTTCAAAAACTTTCTCCACTTCCTCCTGTGCATTCTTACCTGGCTGCCAGCTTCTTTGTGGCGGCCATTGCGGACCGCCGCTGCACCGTCTTGGGAAAAGGGGGTTCTGCCAGCCGGGGAGGGGGTCTGCAACACCCCCAAACCCCTCTCCGGATCCCCCCTATCTTCAGCTGCCCCTGCAGGGCAGCCTAGCTCCGGACCCGTCCGGATCGGAGCACCAAAAGCGGCTAGCGCAGCAGGGATCGCGCAGCTTCGCGAATCCCTGCCGCTCGCGAAGCCGACAAACCGGAAGTCGAGAGATTTTATTTTTGTAAGAAAAAATACTGAAAGATAGGATTCATAATAGACTGCTGCTTATGTAGAATGTTGTGAACGGAATTCTTGAATTTTGTTTATTATTTGGACTTTGTCTCCTCAGTCTTATTAAAGACTCCAGCAGTTCTCGGTCACCATCTCCAAAATGGAAGAAGAAGAAGAAGAAAGACAGAGGCAGGTGGGTCGGTGAGCCCAAGACACTTGAATTCTTTTTTCAGGCTCATTAGGGGGGGATTTAGATTTAGAAATAAGAAAAGGAATGTTTACATTTTAAAGTTTTTCAGAAAAAGTATCTTGTCCTTTTGGTTTTTCAAGGTCTGAGAGCAGATCACCTTCTCGAAGAGAAAGGAAAAAAAGCTCAAAGAAAAAGAAACACAGGTAAGGGGATTGTAGGTAGGTAAAAGTGACTGTCCCTAGTGTGAGGATTGGATTTTAGGGACATCATAATTTGATCATGATTATGTCTTTTGTAGTGCTATCTTCAAAAATATTTTTTGCATTCTTTAAGAAAGCTTCAAAAAAAATGATGTGGTAAAAAGTGTATAAAAATTAGGAGCATGCTACCTGATAGGCTTGTAGTTCTCACTCTGTATGCTGCATTTACTTTTCCAGAAATCTGCTTACAACCATCTTTGATGGGATTCATGGGCAGAATTCACATTTGTAATCCAGCATCAATTTTGAACATCAGTCTTGCCTTGCTAAAGTTATTGGGCATGACATCAGTTTTCTGGTAACTTGGGAATAAAGTCTAATGTTGGAACAGGAAACCTGTTGCTTTTTTAATGACTTGAATACAAATTCTATAATTTGTGTTCATTAGACACACTGGCTGCAGCTGATGGAAATTGTAATTAACATCTGCAACATCAGATTGCCAACTCCTACTCTGTTCTTTTTTTATTCTAGATCAGAATCAAAGAAAAGGAAGCACAGGTGAGTCTTAGTAACCATTTTTAAAATGTTTGGATGTAGAAGGTAGTGGTTCTTTCTGTTTACTTATTCTCAGAATCACCTACGGTAGGATGAATTAAGTTCAATAATTTGTATCTAGTAGGGCTCCACAGGTCTCGTTTTCTTTTCTTTTTTTTTAACAATTTTATTTGAGTTTTCACAAAACAAAAGAAAAATAAAACATCTTTTTTAGTGAACAGCTTGGTTCCAGGTTTTCATATCTCCATACAGATATAATCTCAGTTACATTTTCATCTTTCATATTCAATTTCATATGTTATCACTACTTTATATATTCTTTATTAATTTTTCCCTCAAATACTTCCCTTAGGCTTATTTTATAGCTTTCTCATTCATTTCTAAATCTATTACATATCCTTTTCAAAATTTTAATATCTTCATAATAATTATACTTGTACTTTTATCTGTCCCGTTTACAATTTCATTACACATCCACATTTCAAACATTACAAAACAAGGTTTCCCCTATGGTTGACAATTAGAGTGTGTCACCTTTATATCTTATAGTTAGTTCCCTTTCAAATCCCATTAAACAATTACAACATTCATCACCTAATAGCTATATTATAACATAAATCCCTTTTTAATCAGATTCCGCATGTTATTTGCCCTTTAAATTACCTCTAAACGGTTTTAAATTTCAATGAGAAAAAAATAAAAAATAAAATAAGCAATTCAAGTTCCTCCTAGAAACTGGTATTAATCTCCTTACAATCCTTCTCATAATTCATTTCAATGATATTTTATAAATCATTAATATACATTAATATATTCAATTATGTTTTACATATTTTCATATTTTATTTAATCTAACTGTTATCAGACATTCCATTGAATAACAATGCCAGTTTCATCTTCCATTTTAATTGCATATATTTTCCTGTTTTCTACATAATTTATTATTTCTAATATATACAATCCCTTGTCACCATGCAGAATCCTCTATCTTAATTATATTTTCAACCATTGTCTCTGTGTCTATCAAACTATTCCCTTTAATTCTTGTTCGTTTCCCATATTTCTTTATTTCCTGATTCTGTTTCTTGTAACTTCTTTTTCCCTTTATTTTTCCCCTCTTTTTCTCATTCCAATTTTTGTCCCCCTCCCTCTTTAATGCTTCCTTCTGTAATCTTTCCTTCTGCTCTTTCCTTATATTTTGTTTATTTTTCACACTGTTCCTTTTTATAATTACCTCCTCTAATCTCCAATTTTTAAATCCCTTTTCCCCCTCTTTGAGTTTTCAAACCTCGTCCCAATTTTTTGTTAAAGATGGCCTCTCCTTTATTCAAGTCTTCTTTGTCTGAAACTTTTTGCTGATCCTCATACTCCAAGACTGCCATTTCCAGAGATTGCAGAACAAAGCCAAGCGATTCTCCTTTCTCTTGCAGCTGTTCCTTCATGTTTTTTAATTCCATTTTCAGTTCCAGATAAAGTTCTGCCATCTTTCAACACTTTCCAGTACTTTTAGACAACCAAATTCTATAAAATTACTTCCCAGAGTTAATTTCAATTATATCCTCTAATGATCCAATGTCCAAAGTTTCCAAAATCATCACAGTTCCAGAACAGTTTCTTCTTACTTCTTTCTTTGTTACTAAGTTCCAAGCTTCACTTTCACTTTCCGTGGGCTCTATTTGATTGTAGCAAAATTTCATTTACTTCGTTATTCTTTAAAAATCTTTTAAAAGTTCACATTAATTTCTTTTAGCATCAGGTGGCACTCTCTGGTATGTCCAAGTTCCACCCCCTTTTTTCCTTCCTCTGCTTTTTCTCCTTTTCTGGCTTTTTTAAGTTTCAAAAGCTCCTTATTTCCCCTTTGACACTTAATTTCAGCTTTAAATTTGCCTATTTGGTGTCAGAATCATTTTCACTAATTCTTCTAACTTTTCTCTGAAAGTTCAAAGCCACTTCCAGCTGTCAAATCTTTTATTCCCCTCTTCTTTACTGCCGCTTTAAAAACCTTTCTCAAAAGTTCTTAAGTATTTTAGCTCCAGGGTACCTTGTATTCAGATGTTAATTCTGCTTAGCCCAGTCACCCAAGCTGTCCTCTTCTTCTCCGCTCCTGCACAATCTTGTCCAGTCAGATCTTCCTCTTTGGGGTGGCCATTTTGACCACTGCTGCAACCGCCTTTGGAGAGGAGTTTTATGCCAAGGAGGGGAGATGCAGCTCCCCTCAACCCAGTTGGCGGTCTCCTCCTCCTTCGCCACCTCTACAGGGTGGCTTCGGCCCCAAATCAAGTAGATCGGGGCCCTCCAGCAGCGAGCACAAACCGAAACTGTGGACGATCACAGATTTCGGTCCGTCACCAAGGGAGCCTAAACGGAAGTTCCCACAGGTCTGGTTTTCAAAGATGCCTTAGAATGTGTGAGAGTTGCAAATATAGCACTTGTTTTCAACATCTTAAAGCAGTGGTACCTTTTCATGGGATCCTGATCCTAGGTAAAAGAGGAGGCTGTTTTAAGATTTTTTAAACAGCAGCTGTGTTTGTGATCCCATGCACGCTTCAGTGTTTTTCAAAAGCTGTGTATCTACATCTAAACTTTACATTGGTTTCCTGACTGTGAATTTGGAGTTGGTATGTTAGGGACAGTTATTCTTGGGTATTGCTAGCGTAGATGTCCTATGAAGGATATGAAAGGAACAGAGGGAGAAACAGTTGCTGCATATGTCACTGTTCAACAATGATTCAAAACAAACTTTTTCCCCCAGATCTCCAAGTCCCAAAAGCAAACACAAATCCAAGGAAAAGAAACGGAAGAGGTAAAAGCCACCTATTCTACCTGTGCTGTGCAACTAAAGTTGATCTTTTTTGCAGGCATCTGATTCTCATTTTTAACTCAGGTCCACCAGTGAGTCTGCATCTCAGAAAGACCATCAGGATTGCTCTTCCTCCCCAGATGGTTCTTCCACATCAGATGCATCCCACAGCAGGTACAGCTTGGAGAATCAAGCTCTGTGTCTTGTAATTAGCTATTAAACTTGGGCAGAGCCTTGTGGCTTAACCTTCTAATCATTATTTGTTTACAGATCAGGCAGCCCCATTGTTCAAAAAAGGAGCTTCCTTAGACAGCAGAGCAAGTCTCCTTTGTCAAGTTCACGAAAACCAGACACTGAAGCGGTTTCTAAGAATTTGGGAGAGAGAGAGCATTCACCTTCTGCTGAGCCTGCCTGGCGAGGCAGGAGCACAAGTCCTCGAGAAAGCAGAGAAAAGCAGGAGGTAAAGTATAATACATGCATTAGGAAAGAGAAACATTTACATAAATAAAGTCACTTGGAACAAAATGACTTAGAAATACTGATTGGTTCATTAAAATTGGAGAGGAAAAATGGTGGATTCTAAGTTATTTTTAATATATTAAAGCAGTGTCTTCCTCAAGCTTAAAATCTAATTATAGTTTGTTGAACAGTGTGTCCAACTTTTTGTGATGTGTGGACTTCAACCCTCAGAATTTTCCATTGAATATGCCATTGCTAAGCATTCTGGGAGTTGGAGTCCACACAAAATCACCCAGGTTAGAAAATGCTGTTGTAAAATGACAGCTAATGAGTTGCTTAGAGTTAAACAAGAACTCTAGTGATCTTTTCACTTTCAAAATATTTGTAATATAGTTAGGAGCTGGCTGCTGAGCCTTTTTGGTTTTTCAAAGGATAGTTCTAGTTACTGTTTTTTATATTTCTGTTTAGAAAATATCCAAGCATTCTCCAGTACGTAAGACCGTTCAGCGTTCTCCAAGTCCTTCATCTCCTGCCAAAGAGAAAGAAAGAGACAAGGACAGAAAGTCTGCTTGGCATTGGAGTCAAAAATCTACCCCCTCACTTGAGCATGATCCAAAGTCTATGCATCATTCTCCTGTGCTGAATGATCTTTCTCGAGAAAAGTGTTCCCCTTCTAAAGAGAATAGGTCTCCTTCCTGTTCCTCTCCATCTGCTAAGAAGCAGTCAGAGGATCGTAATGGGACTCTTCCACCATCCAAGGCTAAGATTTCTCTTGACCACAAGGAGGAGCTTACAGCTTCCTCATCTGCTTCTAAGACTGTTGAGAACAAGTTGAAGAAGATATCTCATGAGGACTCTACACCTCAGCGCTCACCTTTTCCTTCAGAGAGTGGTAGTTGCTTCTCTTCTTTCTCCTCTTCTCCTTCCCCACCAACTAAGGCTGCTCCAGTTTCTTGCAACTGTTCTCCAGAGGACCCTCCCAAAAGGCAAGACAAAGAGAAAGTCTCTACCCAGAGAGAGAAACCTAGCTCATCCCCTGAAATCTCTTGTTCTGGGCAAAAACAGTCTTCTAAGACATCTCGATGTGTACCATCCAGCACCCCTACATCTAAAGGCTCCAAATCAAGAGCCGGTTGGAGGGACAAATCTCTCTCTCAAACACCCACTACTCGTAGAGGTAGATCTCGGTCCCGGACCTCACCTAAGAGAGGTAGATCACGTACATGTACCCCACCAAGGAGGGGTAGGTCTCGTTCTCAGAGACATGCTCGATCCCGTTCACGTACTCCTTTGCGAAGGGCATGTTCTCGAACTCCCCACTGGCGAGCCCGTTCAAGAACACCTCAACGATGGGATAGATCACGTTCATGTACGCCTCCCAGATGGGGTCGATCTCGTACACCCCGGAGGCATGGTTGGTCTCGTTCTAGAACTCCCCAAAGGCATGGTTGGTCTAGAAGCAGAAATAGTGGAAGATGGGGCAGGTCACGAACACCAAGAGGGAGGTCACATTCAAGAACACCAAGAGGCAGGTCTAGATCAAGAAGTCCACCCAGGCAAGCAAGATCCCGCTCCAGAACACAACCAAGAAGAGGCAGGTCTAGAACTAGGACGTCTCTCAGGAGAGGAAGATCAAGTTCATCTCCAAGAAGAGAGAAATCCTTGATTTCAGCCAGACGAACCAGATCTGTGTCGTCTTCAGATCGGAAAGTTTCCAGAATTTCTTCTAGGAAAAGTCGATCTGATTCATCTACAAGAATGAGGGAAAGATCTAGTAAAGTGCTAAGACATAGTCTCTCTGGTTCCTCTCCTGAATCAAGGTTAAAAGCATCTCCCAGATGTAGTCTGTCTGGATCACTTCCAAAAGCTAAAAAGAAAACTCTGTTGTCTCCAAGAAGGAGTCATTCAGGTTCTCCAAGGTCAAGGAATAAAAGATCAACACCTCCAAGGCGCAGTCGTTCTAGTTCTTCTCCAAGAGTAAAAAAGAAATGTAGATTAAGGATCAGACAAAGTAGATCTGGTTCTTCTCCAACACCAAAAAAGAAATCAAGATCACCTGGGTGTAGCCAATCCAGGTCATCTCCAGCCCTCAAAAACAAAACCAGAATGTCCCCTCAGAGCAGTTCTGGTTCATCTCCAAGGCTTACAAGGAAGTCTGATGTTTCTTTAGCAGCTGAAGAAACTAAAAAAGCTAAAAACACTTCAAAAAGAAGTCAATCTGGTTCCTCTCAAGCACTGCGAAAGAAATCAAAGTCTCCTTCAAGACATAGTATATCTTGGTCCTCTCCAGAACCAGAGATGAGATTACCAAGAAGGCAAAACAGATCTGAGTCTTCTCCAGAAGTGAAAACAAAGCTGAGGGTAGGATCACCCCCAGTGCTAAAAAGGAAAATGGGATCATCTCCAAGGCGAAGTCAGTCTAGTTCCAGTCAATCATCAGCAAAAGAAAACTTCTTATCACCAATAAGGCAAGCAGCTTGTACAGAATCAACATTTGTATCTCCACTGCAGCAAAGCAGATCTGGAAGGTCTGTAGAAACAAAAGAAAAATCTAGATCACCGCACCAAAGGCAGAGCAGGTCTAGATCACCTCTGGCTTTGAGAGAGACGTCTCTTTCTCCTCTAAGACCAGTTGCTTCTGGAACTTCATTAGAAATTAAGAAATCTTCACCACTGGAAAAATGCAAAAATGATTTCTCAGAGTTAAAGAAGACTAGGTCATCTTCAAGGCAAAGCACATCTGGCTCTTCTCCAGTGAGCAAAGAACAGTCAAGATCACCTTCCAGGACCAAGTCAAGATACTCTCCTGAGATGACAAAATCTTCACCTTTGAAGCAAGTCAGATGCGGACTGTCCCCTCAGGCAGCGAAAGAGAAATCTCCCTCCAAAAGAAGTGAATCTAGATCATCTGAACTGAATGACAAATCTAAAACTCCTCCAAAGCAAAATAAATTCCAAGAAGTGAAAACAAAATCTGAATCTTCTCCAGGGCACAACAAATCTAGTTCCATGGCAGTAATGGAAAGTGTTTCACTTCCATGCCAAAAGAATAAACCAGGTTCATCTCTCTCTGCAAAAGAAAAATTGGAGTCTTCCTCAAGACAAATGCCATCTGAGTCATCACCAGTACTTAAAAAGACAGATATTCCATCAAAGCGGAGTAGATCTGGATCTTCCTCTTCTTCTTTTTCCTCCTCCTCCTCCTCCTCTTCCTCTTCCACCTTCTCCTCTTCCTCCTCTTCTACTTCATCAACATCTCCAGAAGATGATAAATCTCAGTCACCTCCCAGACTTAGTTGTTCTGCGGGGCTGTCAATCAACAAGAATAAATCAGTTTCATCTCCAATGCATGGCAAAGCATATTCTTCTCCAGAACCAGAGAACAGCACTTTTGTAACAGTTACAAAGCACAATAGACCTGGATCTGCTCTGGAAATAAGAGGATCTTCTAAAGCTGCAGTGATGTGGCCCAGATCACCTTTAGAGAAGAAGGGGGCATTTAAAGAGGCATCTCGAAGTAGATCAGGTTCTTATTCTGGGACTAAAGAGAAGCCAAAAATGCACTCTAGTGAGAGCAGTTCAGATTCTTCCCCAGAGTGGAAAGAGAAATCTGAGAGCAGATCTGTGTCGCAGCTCAGACCAAGAATAAAATCAAAAACACCTCCAAGACGCAGAACATTAAGGTCACCACCTAGTTTTAGACCAAAACCCAGAACTCCAAAGCATGGCAGGTCTGGGTCTCCACCAAGACCTAACTTGAAGTCCAGAACGCCTCCAAGACGCCATAGGTCTGGCTCATCTCCTAGACCCAAAATAAAGTCTAGAACACCACACAGACAACATAGATCTGGGTCATCCCCAAGGTCCCAAATAAAATCCAAAACACCACCCCGATACCACTGCAGAGCCAGATCATCTCCAAGATCTAGAAGGAAATCTAGAACCCCTCCACGATGTAGGTCTGGATCACAGGCAAGAGAAAAGTCTAGAACACCAGTTACAAGAAGACTGAGATCTGTATCAGGGAGTCCTAGATGCAAATCTCGAACACTTCCAAGATGTGGACGGTCTAGATCACTCTCCAGAGAAAAATCAAGCACCAGCACACATCCACATCAGTCTGAGTCATCATCCAATGGTGACAGGCCCAGAACTTCTTTGCAACAAGAAAGATCTGGCTCTCCCTCATGGAGGGGTCACTCCAGTTCACTCTCCAGGCGACAAGATAAATCTTGGGGTTTGTTGCGGAGGGAACAATCAGTTTCCTCTCCAGCTAGAAGCTGCTCAAGATCCTTTTCTCAGGAGAAATCTAAACTACCACACAGAGGTAATTCCCAATCGTCAGTACAGATGTTGCAATTGTCCCCAAAGAGGACTGCAACAAGTTGGAATGCATCCTGTTCACCTCCCAGATTAGATACATCATGTGTAACAGCATCATATAAAGGCACTGGGTCCAGAGTATCCCCTGATTGTCAGTCATCTCCTGTGAGGAAGCATTCCAGATCAGGCACCCAGGAAGCCTATACATCTCCAAGAAGAAAGTCTCACTCTCCTCTTGTTCTAGAGAGATATCCCAAGTCTGACCTCCAAGAGAAGCCAGCAAGCTCCTCTCTTTGGCACAGCAAAAACAACATTGCCATTCCTTGTGCTTTAACTCCACCTTGTGAGGAATCTCATAAATTGCGAAAGGATCCATCTATACTACATGACTTGCCTTCAGTATCAAACAATGGTGACTCCATAGCCATCCAAAACAGTTCAGGAGATAGGAATCAGAGCATGCAGCAAGCTATAATTAAAGATGATGTAGAAGTTGGTGCACCTTTGTCAGGGAGAAGCAGTTGTCATGCAGGCTCCCTCTCTCCTGTAAAAGCTAAATGGTTGTCCCACTCCTCCTCTTCCTCCTCTGCTTCTTCAAGCCCCTTACCAGCATTGATTTCTGTCCTAGTGCCATCCCCCAAAGAAGAGGAGATTGTGTCTGAAGGAAAAGTAGCAGACAGGTCTGAGGTGCACTTGCCTACCCTTGAGGCTGAGTCACAGTTGGCTTCTGTCACCATGGAGGATGACACCAGGAGCAGCTGTCCCACAGTCCTACAACCTGCTCTTCCCTCTCCTCCACCCTCTGCCCCTTCAAAGGCAAAGAGAAGTTCACCTGCTTCATCTACCAGTTCATCATCATCCTCTTCTTCCTCCTCATCCTTATCTTCAACTTCTGATTCTGAGTCCAGCTCATCTGAATCCAGTCCCCATGATCAGGCAACAAAGGATCTTGAGGCTAAGATTGAACTGAAACAGTAAGAACTTTTCTTCTTAGTAATCCCTTTTTTCCATGTCTTTTAAGCTGTCAGCAGTCACTGCCTTGTAATACCCAACATCCAGTTTCTTCTTGTTCAATTAACAATGTATATGCACATTCACTTATTCATGTCCTTGTCTTATCCCTTCTAATCCCAGTTTCCGGAATGACATCTCTGCCATAAAAGATGTTGTGCAGACTCATAGTCCATAAGCATTGTCTCAGATATTCTGTGCAACTATATACAATAGATACAGTCAAGTATAACACAACCAATAATGTTTTTATTTCTAGTATTGCTAGATTTAAAATCTGAAGTTGTGTCAGTTGAATTCTAATCTAGCCTCCTATATAAGCAAATAGAAAAAGGGTAATCAAATCTGGAGTCTCTTCAGAGCCAAAAGTCACCTTGTAGGGGTGACGAGATATGAAGGGCTCCTGTAGATCACAAGTGGACGGTGGTCCACTTTGCTGGATCCGGAGAAATCTTCCTGACAGGTGGAGAAGAAGATGGCCATTAATGGCTGAACTGGAGCTGTGACAGCCAGAACGAAGAAAGCACAGAGAGAAGCAGAAAGGGAAACAGTGTACTGGGTCTGGGTAAGGATTGCCTAATTTCCACCCGGAATTAAGCTAAATGCACCAAAAGTACTTTTGAGAAGAAGGGAGACTCCGGAGAGAAGGAGGGAGGGAATTGTTTTTCCCCCTCCAATGGAAAGCGGTGAGTGAAAGTTTTGAGCTGATTACACATCCACTGGAATAGAAAAAGAAACAAATAATTATTTTTAAAATGGGAAGAGAAAGACTGGACTGGGTACTTTAACAAGTCAAGTACAATCTAAGATATGAATATGGATAATGTGCACCTCTACTGAGTTATTTTCCCTATATTTTTGGCTATAATAAGTGAAAGGTCTCCCCCCCCCCCTTCCTTGACTCCTGAACTCATAGTGGAAAGGGAAAAAGAAAGTACCGTATTTGCCGGCGTATAAGACGACTGGGCGTATAAGACGACCCCCCAACATTTCCACTCAAAATATAGAGTTTGTTATATACTCGCCGTATAAGACTACCCCCTCTTCCACACACCTTCCACTTTTGCACTTTTTTTTTTTTTGACGCACTTTTCTGCTTTGGACAATTTTGAAATGAGCTAATCCAATTTTGAACCAAGAATATGCAAATAGCTATGGAGTTTAGAAATGAGTTTTAAAAATATTTTTCATTGCTTACCATTAAGCGTAAAATATGTTGTAAATAAAATGAGAACACAGGAAACATTCTCTTCTCAATACAGCTGATCTCTCTCTCTCTCTCTCTCTCTCTCTCTCTCTCTCTCTCTCTCACACACACACACACACACCAAAAACCCGGACACTGAAAAGGCTGCCAAGGAACAGTATATTCAATGCCTTCTCTTTAATCAAGAAACAAGGAATTCCTTAGAATCTTTTTTTTTCCCCAAGTGGCCCTCTTTAAAAAAAAATATGGAGGTAACACTTTCATTCAAAAAGTCTTCCAGTATCTGGAGTCGCTCAGACATATTGAAGTGAGGCAGGAGAGTAAGTGAAATTTGAAATGATCCAGCTACCGTTTTCTTCCCCTCCCGCCCGAAGGCCATTATCTCCACGTCAAAACGAACGAGGGGAGGCAAAGAAGCCAAACACGCTAAAAAGGATCTCTTTATTTTCCTACACAAGGTCACACCTACTTTTCCGCATTCAAAGGACAACCTCTCCTCACCACCACCACCACACACACACACACCCCAATACCCGCAAACAATGTTCTGGGCATTAATCACCATTGCTACATTAACCTGGTAAATTTATACCCTGCCTCCCCCAGTGTTGCTTTGACGGCAGGATTTCACACAGCGGGGCGCTCGCTCGCTCTCTTCTCCGCTCTCCCACCGTTCGCACATGTTGGAAGCACCGTAAAACCTGATAACCCACCCGGGGGCTCCCCCATCCTTAACCTACAGCCGCCCGCATGCAAAACCTGCGTGCAAAAAGAAAAAAAGAAAAAGAAAAGTACGCCGCACGTGAGGATCTTCGAATCCTCTCCTCCCCACACCGCTAAGGAAGGAAGAGGGGGAAAGGTTGCGCAGCGCATGGCGAGTGACACCCGCCACACACACACACACACACACCCCGCTCCCCCCCCCAGCCTCCCTCCCGGCTGCAACTCAAGCTCGAAGTGGGAGTCGGAGTCCTCCCGGCGTATAAGACGACCCCCCCACTTGGAGGCATGTTTTTCAGGGCAAAAAAGTCGTCTTATACGCCGGCAAATACGGTAAGGATGCAACCTACTGGCCAAAGGTAGTATATAAAAATTTTTTGGAAGTGACTGAGCTAAATAAGAGACTGAAAATACTTTGTTTTGAGGACTGCTGCACCTGGTGTTTAGAAATAGATAGAGACTAAATTTGTTTTGGAAATCATCGTGGGAAAAGCAAGATAGGGGACAGTTACAGAGAAGAACTTCTTCTGAATCTTTGTGGATTATAAATGCTTTTGGCTGATGGATGGAAAAAGTGGAAAGACAGATATTTATTTTGAGAACGTAGGAAGACCTTGAGTTTAATTTGACATTTTGGAATATTGGAGTATTAAGGACTGGGGACACAGTGGGCCTTGTGGATTACAAATACTAATTGGTAGAAGACAAGACAGTATAAAAACATTCTTAAGGATAAATATTTTTCCTCTTTCCCTTTTTACTTTTTGATTTTTCTTATAAAGTATGGCCAGTGTGGATTGACCCTGTGGACTATTGGACTATTGAAAAACTAAAGACAGGGGTTACAGCGGCCCTTGTGGATTGTAAACTTAATTGATTGTGGTACTGAGATACTGAAGATTGATTGAACTTGAATTGGAGGGAATTGGATTTGTAATACAGTCTTTTTATTTTTCTCTTTCTTATCTGACACGTGGGATATCGAAATGTCGGGGTGCTATTGGTGGTTAGCTTTTGGTTGGTTTTCCCTTGGCTGTTAGTAGGATTGGTGGGTGTACCTGTTGCTAGCTTACAAATAGGGGAAAGAAGAGAAAGAAGGAATTAATATTAACTGTTGAGATGTCAAGCACCTCAAATTTAACTAAAATAGGGAAGAAGGCATCTTCTACACTATGATCAGCCTCCTCAAGCCCATCTAATCAGAGGTCAATAGGGAGCATGTTACAGATGGAGAAATCAAATACTTTCGAAAAGGAAATGCTGGCAATGTTTCACTCGTTACAGGAGTCCATGACAAAAAAACATGAGATAAAGAAAGATATAGGGGAAGTGAGAAATGACATGGACGAGATGAAAGAAAAAATTCAAAATATGGATGAAAAATTTGAGAACTTTCAACAAATTATAACAAAAAATGAGCAAAGGATTCAGAAAATGGAGGAGAAATCAGAACAAGTAGAGAAAAAAGTGGACAACATAAATTATAAACTGACACAAGCAAACAAAGAGCTAGAAAGCACCATGATAATGTTGGAAACAGAAAAAGCTGTTCACTATCTGAGATTTCAAAATATAGAAGAGAAGGGAGAAGACCTACCAGACACAATGAAAGAGTTGTTGGCTATAAGCAGGAAATGGAAGCAGAAAGACAATTTTTTTAGAATACGCACAAACTACGCGAGGAATCATAATCTTCTGAGAAGTACATGTGAGATTTGAAAAAATTGATGAGATGAAATACTTAAGGCAAAAACAAACAATTGCAACATAAGGGGAGACAATTGGTACTCTTGAAACAGATCGCTAGGAGAGTAAGGGACTTAGGAAACAATACCATTTTTTGACTACAACGTTGATTAAATACAATGTAAACTTCAGATAGCTGATACCTGAGGGAATACTAGTTAGTTCGCATGAAAAAAGACATAGATTGGACTCATTGGACAAAGCAATGGAATTTTATGTTTGCCACTTCAACATGGAAGAGGGACATGAAGTGAAGGGAGAAATAGTGCATAAAAGCCAAGAAGTACCAATGATAGAAGAAAAGCACTCACGGCAAGATGAAAGTGAAGCGGAGAAAAAAGAATGAGCAGAGCGAGAAGAAACAAGAGCAAAGGAACAGAGTGAAATAAGAGCAACTAGGAGCATAAGACCTACTATATACAAGTGAAGCAATGCAAGAAGAAATAATGATGTCAGTTAATATAAATGGACTAAATTCCCCTAATTCACAAAATTACAAAGATTAAGATTAGACATAATGTCAAGATTCTCGCAGTTACCCCAATTAAATCATGAGTCTCGATCCAAACTTCAAAAACTAAACAGGATTTATTGGGAGTTAACATGTCGGCACTACCTGGGTGTACCCAACTCTGAGACACGTAATTCACTGTCACCCTTGACCCTGGTTTTCCCCCACCCCTCTGGGTGTATCATTCATATTCTCCAATGACACCCATCCATAGCCAAGAGTCATCAGTCATGTTCTCCAGTTAGATTTTTGCACGGCAGGAACTTCAGTCACCTACTTACAATCTCTTAAAAACTATTGTATGGAATGCAGTTTCGATTTCCAACTAGCATTGATCTTTCTAGATGCTTTGAAAGCATTTGACAATGTAAATTTGTGGCATTTTCAGATTGCTTATTCCAACCAAGGCTGTCATTTTGTGAGGCATAACTATTGACTGATAATAGACTGAATATGCTGCTAAAAAGAATTAAAAAGACTCCTGTCAGCTGTTTCCCTAGACTTTTCTCAGCTGGAGTTTGTGTGTCCATTCAGAAATGTGAGTTTCTTCAGTTAACCTGCCTGAAACTTGTTTCCTCTGTTGGAGCCACCCAGTCTTTAATTATACCCTCTTCCTTTTACTTTCCTTGCCACCAAGCCCAGTGCTGAAAGAGACTAATCATGATGAGCAACCTCTGGAAATGGGCAAACGTAAGTGTCGTTCTCAAAGCTCAAGCAGTTCAAGCAGCAGCTCTTCCTCTTCATCCTCATCCTCTTCTTCATCTTCGTCCTCTTCAACGCCACTGCCTAAAACAGGACTTCAGGCGGTGATGAAGGGTCCCCTAAAGAAGAAACCATCTCCAGGAAAGAGAAAGTAAGTATTCGGCTAATGAAGAGGTATACTTTGCACCTGAGAATCAGTGTTCTATTCTTTTATTGGCAATGTTGTTGAAGTGTGGAGGTGAACCAGCTCTGCCTTCTCCTTCCTTGACTTGGCATCCTAAGAGAATTACCTTGTTCTATTTGCTGGATGTTTAGAATGGCTTCTGGCATCACATGCCTAGTGCAAATATCATGAGATCTTGGGGAAATAGTCCAAGAAGACTGCCAGATGCTAAAAGAGCTGTGGAAGATTTGTGGTACTAGCTTTTTTGGGTAGAAGGAGAGGTGTATTAGTTACAATAGGACTGCACATGGTAGGCTGTACCTAAAAGTACTTTAAAAATATTGCAAAATACTACTGTAAAAATATTTGCTAAGAATGTTGCAACTTACAACTGATGGTATTTTCATTACAGTATCTTGTTTTGCCATGTTCTCTTATGGACACGGATGGCAAATTCTGACTACTATATTCGATGGTCCTCTTTTAGAGCAGTGTTTCTCGTATTTACAATATTTTTATTAAGTTTTTTTAAATATGGAATACAAATAAAGACAGTGGAAAAAGGGGGAAGGAAATGGGAGGAAAGGAAAAGGGAAAGATTGATAAAATGAGGAAAGAAAAAGGAATGGAAGAATAAAAAAGCAGTGACTTCCAGCTTCTTTTGTTGCAGTGAGATACATAATACAGTTATAATATCAACTTTTTACTTATCTAAAACAGTAAATACTAGCTGTTTCTATAATCATGATCTACTTAATTGTCAAAACCTAAAATGATTTTTTTTTCTCTTTTGAGTAGAAAGTCCAAAAAGGTTTTCAGGTGGACACAAACTATTTACATTCTTTCCCCTAATTAATGCAATTAAATTTGCTATCTGCCAATTCATCTTTTCAATTCATTCCTAATTTCAGTGCCTCTTTCCATTTTTGACCATTTTTTTACCATTGGCTCTTTCTATTGCTAGGTCACACAGCCCTAGAAAACCAATTGACTCATTGAGAGATTCTCACTCTCTGAGCTACTCCCCAGCAAAACAGCGTCAGATTTCCCCTCCTCCCCAACCACCCTCTACTCCAAGGGATCGATGTAGGTAGGTCTCTTCAGCAAGTCTTACTTCCCTTGGCTGAAAAATTGTTTAGGGATTATTTGCAGAATACATTTAACATTGAATCCAAGTCAGTTTCATACTCCCCATTCTCTATCCAGAGACAGGTCTAGGGATAGGTCCCTGCGGAGAAACAGACGAAGCATCAGCAGGTCTCCAGGACGAAAACATCAACACAAATCTCCCAGTCCCCGAGCTCCTCGTCGCAGAACTTCAAGGTATTGAGCATGACTTGCTAGTTTTAGAAATACCTAACAATTGCCAAAGGTCCTTTTATATGTAACTATTCAACTGACTTGCCTGTACTTATTATAGTTTTGTTATTCCTGACACAGTGTGTTCCTACTCATTTCCTGAAGGTATAATTGTGCTAGTGTCTTTAATCCTAAAATCTCCATCTTGAAGTCTGTGAATTCTTCTCATCTACATCTAGATATAAATAAATGGCTAGCTTCAAATAAATTGCTAGAGTACCAAAATCTTTGTTTCCATGTGTGTGACAGCATTATTTGTTTAGTGGGCCTGTCTGAAAAAGAAAGCTAAGCTGAGATAATGATATAGAATGTCCTGGCTAGACTGGAGGTCAGAGAGGATTATCCTTACTAATTTCTGTTCTGGTAAATGGATAATTTGTGACTATATCCACCAGTGGTGGGATTCAAATTTTTTTACTACCGGTTCTGTGGGCGTGGCTTATTTGGTGGTCATGTGGCTGGGTGGGCATGCTGGGTGATCATGTGACTGGGTGGGAGTGGCCAACTTGACATCACTCACGTCAAGGGGTGCCTTGCCTGGCCTCTGCTCACCTCAGAGATACAATTTCCCTCTCTATTTACTACTACTAAACATCCAAAATACACTATTTAATCCTATGTATATATGCCATATGTGTATATACATATTACATGGTATAGTGTGTGTATCGGCACACAAAAAGATACACTACTATATATACTGTGTGTATGTACACACACACACACACACAACCACACACAGAGCTCTTCTAAAACTATATACATTCAACCTCACTGCATTTGGAAAAACATACCCATAGTCCACTTTCTGCCACACATTTAACTATAACTTCTGTACATTAGAACATTGCACACGCCTTCAGATTTACTTCCCTAGCCTGCATATGACCGTTAGACCCAGGAGATGTCATGGATTGAGTAAAATATAGTGAAACTCACTTAACAACACTCTTGCGTAGCAACCAAAATTTTGGGCTCAATTGTGGTCATAAGTGAAGGACTATCTCTGCTTCCTCTGCATGGCAGCTTTGTCCTAATAAACTCCTCTGCCAATTTTCCTCTCTGTTAGGGGCACTGTAAGGTCTGGCAGTACTCTTAAGCCAAAAATGAACCAAAACAAAGACTTAAACAGAGGCTTGCAAATCAAAGAAAGCAGACTTTTATTCTTTGATTAAAGTAAAAGATCTGGGAAGAAGTTCCTAGCACGTGACAAGAGACATGGGAGGAAAATTCTACAAAATACAGAAAAATGCCCTGTACCTTTAAGATTCTTAGAAGTGGAGTAAGTGCAATGTAAAACTCTCTAACTTAGATTTACATCTTTCCTGCAAAAGACAAATCTCTCCCTATCTCTTCTCCGATTGTTCATCTAATTGATCACAATTGACCACTTAAGGAGGCTATCAACAGCATACTTCAAAGGTGTGGAATGGAGGATTTTACATTCCCAGAGAGGTACGTTTCATTCCCATGGGTTGAAATGTATCAATCCAGAAAAACAGATGGATTCAGATTGATTTATATGGGACAATCACGTGTCTTAATAGGAGAGGGGTGTAACTGATTGCAGGCATATGTTTATAATTGTTTTACAACAAGTAAAAGGTTAAGGAAATCTTTTTTACAACAGCGAGATAACAAATTCCTATAGAGTAGCTCTCAATGCTATAATATATTTTACTATATTTATTTATTAATGTCCCCTTCAGCACCAAAATAATCCAGATTCCAGATGATATAAGGTCTCCTGCTGGAGCAGGGGGTTGGATTAGATGGCCTTCAATGTTCCTTCTAACTCTGCTGTTCTATGATTCTGTAAGGATCTCCTCCTGGAGCAGGGGGTTGGACTAGAACAGGGGTCTTCAAACTTGACAGTTTTAAGACTTGTGAACTTCAACTCCCAGAATTCCTCCTCCAGTCATGTTAGCTCAAGAATTCTGGGAGTTGAAGTCTACAAGTCTTAAACTTGCAAACTTTGAAAACCCTTGGAGTAGAAGAAGATCCCTTTCAGCCCTAGATTCCTGTCCTGTTTCAAAGAGTCTTCTGAAGCTAGGGTTTGTGTCCTTCCTTCCTCTCCTTTTTTTCCCCTCTCCTCCCTCCCGCCTTCTTGCTCCCTCTTTCTTTCTCTCCCTTCCTTCCATCCCATCTTTGTCTACCCCTTTCTCTTTCTTTCTCCCTTTTTCTTTCTTTCCCTTTTCTTTCTTGTCTCTTCCTTCTCTCTCTTTCCCTCTCTCTCTCTTTCTTTTTCCCTCTTTTTCTCTCTCTCCCTTTCTATCCTTTCCTTCCCCTCTCTCCTTCTAAAGCTAGGAGAGGAGACCCACCTGAAACAAACACACACACACACACACACACACACACACACACACACACACACACAAACTTTCAAGCACTCGGCAGTGTCACTCCTTACGAGGGTTCTTCCTGGCCAGTATTGTGTCCCATGTTGCCCGGAAAAGCTGACAGGCAATGCTTCCAGGACCAACAAAGGAGCCACCCCTTTGAGACTTCCAAAGACTTCCTCCCCTCCCGCTTTTGGGGAAAGGAAAGGGCTGAGAAATTCAAGTGACACGTGTGCTGCAGCGTCACGCCCCCTCCCCCGCCAGCAGCTCTGGGCTAGGGAGCAGTTTGGCTTTCCTGACTACCTGAAACATTACCTTGCTCCTGCAGCTGGTGGCAGAAGGAAAGGCAAGCCAGCCAGGTCAGAGCTGTCGCCACTCAGCTCCCTGCCAGCCCACATCTCATCCCCTGCCCGGATTCTCCAGCAGCTTCTGGGGCTCGCCTGCTGGGAGGCACGGGGACCAGGAAGCACGAGGCTACTCTGCCTACATCATCCAGGGCAGCCGCCCCTCCCTCGCTGAACAAGCGTTTTGGCAGTTGTGGGGGGGGGGGGGGAAGCTTCATTTGTTCAACTTCTACCTATCCCACCATTAGGCACCACAAAAAAGGAGGTTAATACGGCCTGACAAGAAACAAGAGCAGTGGGAAAGATGCGAGAAGCGAAGCCAGAAAGCGAAGCTAAGTCCACACTTCCACACAAAGTTAACGCGACTCGCAGGCTTACCTGTGAGCAGCAAGCAGATCAGGGCTGCTCAGTTGAGGCGCAGGCACCACGTGGGAAGGCTAGAATGGCAAGCCACGAGGACCCAGCATGCCTCATAGGGGAGGAGTGACTGGGCGGGATGAGAGGCGCAAGCGAGCATCTGGTGGACGGGGCAACTGAGCAACCAGCGACCGGGGAACCGGTGTGAGGGCATGGCCAGCCAGAAGTCGCTACCGGCTCCATGACCCACGCCAAATTCTTGCTACCGGGTCGCTAGAACCAGTGCGAACTGGCTGAATACCACCTCTGATATCCACTATGCTTCTTATCCACTTGCTCTCTGAAATTTAAGCTCACTTGTGAACTGAAAGCAGCTGGGGACTCTGTTAATCTCAAAGTAGAGTCCTTAGGCTGAACATACCCCATTTTCAGAAAATGCTCTGTTTCATTCCCTTCTGTTTTGAAGTGAGATCCAGATGAAGCATACATGAAGCATTTATTCTTTTGTTCTCTTGAAACTTACCACAGCTGACTTCTTCAATTCTGTAAGACTTGACTGCTCTTCTTTATTTAAACTATGTTGTATTCTTTAGCCTAAAAAACTCCCATAACAAGCCCCACTCATTTTCTGCCCTTGTAGTTGTAATCTAAAAACACAGAGAAAAGGGGATGAGAAGCAAAAATAAGGTGACAATTTATACGTAATATTTTATGGTTCCTAGAATAGTCTGGTATGATGAAAATGGATTATTCAGAGGACCTCGATGCTTTCTTTCTCTTTACAAAAAAGAATACAGGTAGACCTCGACTTACAACAATTCATTTAGTGACCATTCAAAGTTACAATGGCACTGAAAAAAGTGACGTATTTTTCACACTTAGGACCATTGCAGCATCCCCATGGTCACGCGATTTACATTGTACTTTAAAATATTTGTATGTGGTTACACCGATCACCTGTAGGTTAAGAAGTTAGATTACCATCTTGTTTTGCATTGCTTAATTTTTTTTCTCCTCCCTTTTCTCCCCAAGGTCCCCGTAAGCCTTTTGGAGAGTGGAATGTCCTTGTCCTCACAACCACAGACTGCACCATCCCCAGCGTCCAGTGCTATTCCAGTTGGGAGTCCCCCACCTACTGATGTCCACTGAAAACCAGTGTGTTTGCATTGGGGGGAGAGTGAAGTGGAGGTCTCTTCATTTGCCATCACCTTTATATTCTCATTAGTTTTTTCCTTTACTGTCCCTGTCTTTATTGCCCATCATTTGTCGGCAGCTACCTTCCCCATGTCCCTGGACATTTCTGCACAACACCTGCCAGGATCCAAAAGCTTCTATGCTCCTCTTCCAACAGTTGGTGATGTTCATTTGATTTTTTCCCTCCTGTGAGCATTTTTTTCCCTGTGCATTTTGCAGCTAAAATCTATACTAACAACCCAGAATTAGATGGAAGGTAGTGCTTTCTAGTAGCTCCTTTCTCTGTTCCCCACTTTCTATCAAGCTTTTCTGAAGAAAGGCAGGCAGCTTCTTTCAGTAGCCTGTAACAGTGGAGTCGATCCTTGGCAGTGGCAACTATTCCTGCTCCTCCACCCCCCAAGAACAAAATGAATTTAATATGCAGCACTTTTTTTCCTTTTTCCTCCTCAAGGGAGACTCACTCATATTTATTAGCTGAGCCAGGTCATGAGGGGTCAAGTTTGAAACTGGAACAGGGGCTTTCAGGCATTTTAGGGGGAAGGTGACAAAGTGTGCTGAGAAGAAGCTGAGAAACCCTAAATCAGGGAGGGTGGGAACAGAAGTTTTTTCATATTTCTGAAAAGCATTTAATTTTTTTTATATGTACAGCAAGGAGATTTTTTTTTCTGTCAAATAAACTTATGAAATGCAAAATCTGTTGCTGAGTCATTCAGAATTTTCTCTTAAGTCTGGTCAAAGGAGATCTTCAATTAAATACGTAGGCTTTTCAACATTACTGTTGCTTCTTCCTCTATTTAGTGCTTTTGGTTTGTTTGAAGGATGAATGAATAGCTAGAATAAAAGTACTTAAGTCCCATCTATTTAGAACACATGCATGCACACATTTCTCTGTTCAGTCTGCTGAAGAGTGTTAACTAAATAACACAAAATAAAGGTAAATGTTTCCCTGTTCAGTCGCGTCCAACTTTAGGGGGCAGTGCTCATCTTTGTTTCTTAGCAAAGGGAGCCAGTGTTGCCTGAAGACATTTCCATGGTCATGTGTCCCACATGACTATATGCTGAAGCGCATGGAACACTGTTACGTTCCAAATGAAGTACCTATTTATCTACCCACATTTGCATGCTTTTAAACTGTTAGGTGGGCAGGAGCTGCGGCAAGTAACAGCTCACCCCATCACATGTCGCTCAGGTCTTGAACCTGGGCTGTCAGCTTTCCACTTGACAAGCTCAGCATCATTAATCATTGAGCCACTGTGGTTAAACCAAACCCAAAAGTAACCTTGGTAACCCAAAAGTTCTTTTTTTAAAAAAACAAGTTTTATTTCAGTTTTCCACATTTTAAAAAAGTCTCTTTTTGGTGAACAGCATGATTACAGGTTTCCACATTTACATACAAATATGACCATAGTTACATATTCAATTTGTACATTCAGCTTTTTATCTTAACATTGCTTTAATCCATTTTCTGTTTTATTATATTATACCAAGTGCTTGCCTCTTATTTAAATCATCAGTATTTCTCGTATCTTCATAATTATTATATTTTAATACTTTTAACTCTCACATTTCCATATTTCATCACATATTATTACATCCTTTCATAAGTTTTAATTTAATACAATCATTTTTGAAAAAAATGGTTCCCCTCTAAGTTACCAATTTAAGTGTGCCACCTCTAAAATTTACATATTCATTATCATCCCTTTTAAATTAAACATAACTTTTATCACTTAAAAATTGAAATTAATAATCCCTTTAAAACTACATAACATATATACCTTTTAAATCAGATTCTGCATGGTTTTTCCCCTTCTTGATTTCATAACCCTTATTTACCATTTCAGAAAAGAAAACACCTTGATCTATTCACTTAATCCTAAATCCTGATATTAATTCCATTTCAGCCCTTCTATATCATTTCAATTATTTCAATATATTCAATACACTTATTCCATTGATTATTCCATTCATCTTTATACATTTAAAACACAGGAGCCTGCATTCCAGTACTAAAAAGTATCAACTCCATTACAACCCTCGTATTTCATTTTAATTATTTCAATATATTTAATAAACATATTCCATTAATTATTCCATTCATCTCTATATATATATGAGAAAAGAGCATACATTCCAATACCACAGAGTATCAGTTCTATTTTTCATCTTGGTAATCTATATATCCCTATTTCCTACAATATTCATAACTTTAAGTATATTTATGTTATCCCCATCACCTTGCAGAATCTCCTTTTAAAATATTAACCAGCCATTATCTCTGTGTCTTCTAAACCAACAATTTCTTTTCATTTGTTTACACTTCCCATATTTCTTTGTTTCCAGATCCTGTTTCTTAACCCTTCTTTTCCCTTTCATTTTCCCCTTTATTCTTCCACTCCAGTTTTTATCCCCCTCCCTATTTGTAACTTCCTTCCACCCTTCAATTTTCTGCTGTTTCTTTTTGCCTTTTTTAATTTTACAGAAATTCCCCTTTTTATTTACCTTCTTACATCTCATATTTTTATTTCCCACTCTTTTCCTCTTTCTTTTCAGAATTCTTTGTTTCTGATGATAGTTAAAAATGGCTTCTTCTGTGGTCAACTCCACCTCCTCTTCTGTCTTTTGTCTTTGTTGTTCATATTCTTCAGTTGTGTTTTCCAAAAAATTTAAAGCAAAACCCAACAATTCACCTCATTTTTGTAATGTTTCTTTCATGTTTCTAAGTTCCATTTTTAAGTCCAGAAGAGATATCTCAATTTTGCACATTTCTGTCTAATAATTTAATCAAAATAGTGTCTATGAGGTTAGTTCCAACAATCAACCTTTATTCCTCTCAAATTTTTAGATCACAAATAGTCCAATACCAAGTCCATACTGAAATCAGCAATTAATCCCAGGGCAGAGTCTTCGTACTTCTTTGTTTCAATTTTTCAAAGTTCTTGTTTTATTGTATCAATATTACTTTAAGTTTTTAAGAAACAGTCTTTATATATAAAAAAAGTTAGATTTAACCACCAGATTAACCACCCTTTATTATAACAAATCTTCACCCCTTTTTTTAATTCTTCTATTCAGGGCTTTTTAAACCACAGTCTTTCAAGAACAAAAGTCAGATCCAGTTGGAATTTAAGTTTTCCCTTTGACAATTTCAAATTCAGCCTTATACACCCTAGCAGAATTTGCACGGCAGTCAGGCAAATATGTGAGATAAACTTTTTTGTAGCTTACACTCAGTAAAACAGATACACTGCTAGTTAAATAGTTTATTCCAGTAAGAGTTTTATAATAGTCAAACAGTCCATATATCATTCACTAGTTCAGTCCGTTCGGAGATTATTCAGTTGCAAAGTCCAGTGTCGAAAAAGAGGTTAGTAAACTTACAAATATCAGTCCAGTAATATATATCCTCGCAGTAGAGATATAAAGAAGTCAAACCTTTCTTCCTTCGACGTTCAAAAACTCAGCAGCAGGGAACACGAAGTTAGCAAACCATCAATCCAGCATAGTTAGCAATCCAGCAGGTTCTCTTGCTCCCTCTTATGGCGGTTTTACAACCGCACCCAAAATTACATGCTTTGCAGTTTAAAGTGACACACACTTAAACTTACTATCATAGTTTATATATATTATTTTACCCAAACTACGTTAGGTAACCTTGTTATTCCTAACATACTCCCCTTTTGGGTAATATAATATATATATATATATCTATTTACAACCTTAACTCATAGTCATCACAACTTTCTTTGTGTTTGACTGCACCTTGGGCTTTCGTAAATTGATCAGCAATATTTTCTTCAGTCATACAATATTCCAGTCTTATCGAACCATTTTTTTACAGATTGCCTTACATTCAGATATCTAAGATCTGTATGCTTAGATCTCGTTTTCACAGCAATATTTGTAGCCATCCGTATGGCTGCTTGATTGTCCTCATATACTACAATGGAATCATTAACAGTTATTCCCATATCCAATAACAACTGTTTATACAGAATTAAATCAGTACATAATAAACATAGACATGAAAATTCTGCTTCCATTGTGGACATACTTATGTGTTGCTGTCTAATTGACCTCCAACCAATCAGTGCTTTTCCTAACAGTATAGCCGTACCTGAAGTTGATTTCCTAGTGTTTATGTCTGTTGCAAAACTTGCATCAGCATATGCACTTAAAATCAGATCATCTTTTGGCTCCAAATACAATGCATAGTGCATTGTCCTTTTAAGATATCTTAAGATACGTTTTGTCGCTTGCCAGTGTCGTTCAGTGGGTTCAGCGTTGAATCTTGCCAATTGATTAATGCTATAGGCAATATCTGGCTTTGACCAATTACTAATGTACGATAAACTACCAATTAGCGATTGATAGATAGTCTTATCGAATTTTGGACTTTGAGCATCAGTGTGGCCAAATTCCTGACTCATTGGAGTTTTAGCCGGCTTACAAAGTTCCATCTTGTATGTTTTTAGTAATTGATAAATCTTATCCTCTTGAGATATCTTATAGCCACCTTTGGTTTTATTTATTGTTAATCCTAGATACTGTTTTATCTCTCCTAATTGCTTTAATTTTATCCTCTTACCTAATAACGATATTATTTCAGTAGCTTCATTATTAGTTTTTGTAATTAATGCAATATCATCAGTGAACAACAATAACAATGACACTGTTCCATTTGTCTCTTTCTTAAATACACATGGATCAGCTAAACCTGCTTTAAACCCTATATTGTTTAACTCCTTAACAATATATTGGTTCCATTCGTAACCAGATTGTTTTAATCCATAGAGACTCTTTTTAAGCTTCCAACAGTCATTATTTGTTTTATCATCCTTAATTCCTACAGGTTTCTTTAGGTATATAGTGTGCTGCAATGGTGCATGCAGATAGGCAGTTTCTACATCTAAGTGATTTATAATATAGTTCTTCTTAGCTGCCCACACTAAAGCTGCTCTCAAGGTTGTTGCTTTTAGACTCGGTGCAAATACTTCATCATAATCACATGCAGTTTGATTAAATCCTTGAGCTACCAACCTAGCCTTATGGGTAACAGTCCCATTTTTACCTGTTTTTAATTTAAATATCCATTTATAGCCAATGGACTTTTCACCTGGAGGTAATTTAACATTTTCATAAACTTCCATTTGTTTCAATGAATTTAATTCTTTCTCCATTACTCTATGCCAATGTTCTTGTTCCTTTGCTGGATACATTCTAAGTTCTTCAACAGTAGTTGGAACTTTACTAACTTGGCAAACTACACTTGCTTGGTACCTGTCAGGTGGTCTGGTTTCACGTGTTGAACGTCTAGGTATTACAGGGCTTACAGGTGGACTTTCATGTACTACCTGTTCCTGGTTATCTATTTCTTCCTGTTCACCTATTTCTTCCTGTTCTGGTCCTATGTGCTCTTCCTGTACTTCCTCTTTAATTATACTCTTCTTATTACTGATATGCTGTTTTGGTCTTTTGTAGGTTTCTATGATTACATCCTTACTTGAATCTTGCTCCAGTTTTTCCCATCCTACATGTTCAAGGAATTGTGCACTAGCACTACAGTAAACGCTAGATGTACCTTTTTCCCAGAATCTGTATGATTTGTGATTAGATTCATAACCTACAAAGAATAACTTTTTAGCCCTATGCTGCCCCTTATGTCTCAGTTGTGTAGGAATATGCACCCATGCTGGTACTCCAAATGTGTGCATGTAGCTTAGGTCAGGTTTTCTACCATGCCACCGTGTGAATGGTAATTCACCTGTTGTTGAGTTAACAACATTATTCAATATATGATTACCACACATTATTGCTTCTCCCCACAAAGTTTCAGGTAATCCTGAATCCGACAACATAGTACGAGCCATTGCCTGTATTGTTTGGCCTCGTCTTTCTATAAAGGAATTACGTTGTGGCCTATATGGTGCAGACTTTTTATGTTCAACACCTGCCATCTTCAGTCTATTTTGGAATTTATTATTTATAAATTCCGTACCATTATCAGTTACAAGAGTTACTAGTTTCCTTTTAGTTTTTCTTTCTGCAAACTTCAACCAATTAAAGAAATTCTGATATGTTTCCGTTTTACTCTTCATTAAATAACAGAAACCATATCTGGAATAATGATCCATTATGCTTAATATATAACGAGCACCTCCCACACTTGGTTTTTTAGGACCTATAATATCAGCAAATACGACCTCTAGGGGTTCCTTAGTCTTAAATCCATTTATTCTATTTGCTGGTATTACCTTGCCTTTTTCTTGACTGCAAGCATTGCAGTGCAAATACTTACTGCAAGGCTTCAGTTTTATACCTTCAGACAGTTCAACCGTTTGCTTGAGCATTTTAAAATTTATATGCCCTAAACATCTGTGTAACAAATGTATGCATTCATCATGAGGTTTAACGTTATTATACATTGTGTTAGCCACCTCTAATTGATTATCATTTAACACATACAATTCACCTTTTAAAGTTGCAGTCACTTTTTTACCTTCCTTTTCTATTATGCAGTTTTCTCCCCTAAAGGTAACTACATAACCTAGTTTAACCAAAACTCTAACCGAAAGCAAATTAAACTTAAGTTGTGGTACATATAACATTTTTACTTTTTCTTTTATGAAAGAACAATGTGCAATACCTTCACCTTTTGCTTTCATTTTCCAGCCATTAGCTAACGATATCTGCTGTGAACTCGTGGACATCTTAACAAACTTTTTTCTTATCTTTCGTTATGCAGTGCGATGCTCCACTATCTACAACCCATAAATTATTATTCACAGTTTCGTTGCTATACATGGCTAACTCTAAGCATTTTTCATCCTTTTGATGCCTTTTAGCATTCTGGCTGGCATTGTGGCGTTTTCCTTTCTTGCAGAATCTAGCCAAATGTCCTTTTCCTCCACAATTAAAACATTTTCTAATTGTATAGGCTGTCGAAGATTCTTTCTCTTCTTGTGGTTGTTCCCTTCTCAGTTGATCCCTTTCAAGCCTTCTCCTGGCTTCTTCAATTAATCTGCCAGTAATGTCAGTTAATGTGAGGTTATCTTTTGGCAGTACTTCCAGTGAAGTTACATAGTCGTCATAACTCTCATCTAACGAAGACAAAATTATATAAACCTGATGCAGTTCTGTGAAGATAAGTTCTTTTTCATGCAGTTCCTGAAAAATCTTCATAGTGTTTATATGAGTCAACATGTCTCCATTCTTTTGAAGATGTGTTCTGAACAGCTTCCGTGTAAGATTTATATGTGCTCCTACACTGTCTCGAACATAAATCTTCTTTAAATTCTCCCAACATTTCACAGCTGTTTCTTCTCCACGAATATGTACAAGCTGCTGGTCACAGAGTGTCAGTCCTATTATACAGAGAGCTTGCTCATTTTTCAGTTTATATTCTTGTATTTTCTGGGCATCATCCTCATCTTCCGGATCCCAAGCATCTACCTCTGGTGGGTTTTGAATTATACTCCATAAACCTTCTCTGCGTAGAAGTAGGCTGCATTTCATAGACCATGAAACATAGTTTGTTCCATCCAGTTTGGATATGAGAGACAAATTTGGTAAATTGACTTGTGCCATCTTTTTCTGGATATTAAACTATAATTAATAAAACACAGCTGTCTGTTTACAGTATTGTGTAACTACACTAACTCTCACTTTATATAAGCCTGTTATATCCTGGTTAGTCTGACTGTGCACCTCGGCCCATAACCAGTGTTAGGGATACACCCTAGCAGAATTTGCACGGCAGTCAGGCAGGCAGGCAAATATGTGAGATAAACGTTTTTGTAGCTTACACTCAGTAAAACAGATACACTGTGCTAGTTAAATAGTTTATTCCAGTAAGAGTTTTATAATAGTCAAACAGTCCATATATCATTCACTAGTTCAGTCCGTTCGGAGATTATTCAGTTGCAAAGTCCAGTGTCGAAAAAGAGGTTAGTAAACTTACAAATATCAGTCCAGTAATATATATCCTCGCAGTAGAGAAGTCAAACCTCCTTTCTTCCTTCGACGTTCAAAAACTCAGCAGCAGGGAACACACAGTTAGCAAACCATCAATCCAGCATAGTTAGCAATCCAGCAGGTTCTCTTGCTCCCTCTTATGGCGGTTTTACAACCGCACCCAAAATTACATGCTTTGCAGTTTAAAGTGACACACTTAAACTTACTATCATAGTTTATATATATTATTTTACCCAAACTACGTTAGGTAACCTTGTTATTCCTAACAATGCCTATGTAGTATCAGTATATTTATCCAGATTAATTAAATGGTTTCTTCTTCCGGCTTTTACCTTTCTTGGTTCAAAGCCTCACAGCTGTCAAAAACAATTCACACCCTTTTTTCCCCCCTTTCTCTTCGCTGCTTTGAATCCTTTCTTAAAAATTCTTAATGATCAATCCTGGGGTACCTTTCATTTAATTATAGCATCTAATCATCCCGTTTCTCATGCTGTCTGCTTCTTTCTCTCCTGCACAATCTTATTCCAGCTGACTCTTCCCCTTCAGGGTGGCCATTTTAGATCACTGCTTCAGACGTCTTCGGAAAGAATAGTTTGCCAAGCCAGGGAGGGGATTTACGACTCCCCTCTACCCAGCTGGCGGTCTCCCCTTCCTCTGCCACCCCTACGAGGTGGCTTCTGCCCCAAATCTAACCAATCGGGGCTCTCCAACGAAGAAGCATGGACCAAAGCCATGGACGATCGCAGTCAGTGGTCCGTCTTTGGGGAAGTCCAACCGGAAGCCCCGTAACCCAAAAGTGTTTAAACCTACACTTTTTGAGTTCATTTTGTTTGAGCAGAATTGTTCATAGTGTTCAAACTACTTCCCTTTCAAATAGAAAGAAGCTGTCGGGGAGGCTCCATTCAAAATCCAAGAAAGAAAGCCTTAGACTCCATAGTTTTAGTGAAAAGGACTTTTACTGAAAATTGATATGGTAACATCAGAAGAATACAAGATCTGAAGCAATAGGCGCGAAAATTGCATATAGAAAGTTACCCCAAGTTTCCACCCCCAATAGTTCAAACTGGCCATCCAATCTGAGATGTGTATAACATCATGTGGGGCATTTTCAGGTGGTGTTTCAGACATCTGGTATGCCAAGACGGTTGACCTTGGCGTAGACAGATAAGAGGCTACATCTGCTCAGTAAGTAAGTAAGCATAGTCAAGCAACATCCCAAACTTTACATTTCATCAACTCAAACCTTCAGCACTCTTCCCCCCACAAAGTCCAATTATTCTTCCCTCCCCCCTCTCCCCCCA